AATCATTTGTGATGTTGCGATAATTTTATCCTTTGTTTGGTTTACCTCAGGCGCACCAGTATAGTTTTGGATTATGTTGGTTATGTTGTTATGATGTGTAGTTGGTAGTTCAAAAAATAGTATTGGTTCATTATTCTTAATAATATTATTTAAAATTTTTTTTTTAAAATTTGGGTCTGAAATAAATGATGAGTTTGAATGATAATTTTTGTTTTTGTAATTTTGGTTTTTTGAAATGTTAAAAGAGTTGTTTGGGTTATGAGATTTATTAAATTTTGGAGTAGTTTTTGGGTGTTCTGTGTGGGTGTTTTGATGAGTATTTGGTGGAGAAAATGGATTTTGGGTAGAATGTTGATTATTTTGTGTTGAGATAATGCTATCAATAGTATCCATGTTGCCATCACCATTAGTTTGATTATTATTTGTGGACATTTTGTTTGTGAATTTATAAATAAAAGAGATACAACGATCAGCTAAAGAGATTTCAGTTAGATTCCGTCTACTTAAAAAAGTTTTAAAAAATCAAAGAAAATTTTGGATTTATTTAAAACAGTTAATGAAAGTGTATGTGGTGATATATGTAAATTATATAAAAATAAACAAAAGTGTGTAAAAATAAAATGAATTGTATAAAAAGTGGTAAATAAGGTTAAAAAAATGAATGATGTTGTGATTGGTGGTAATAAATTATAGCTAAAGATATGATAATAATAACTATAATAAAAAAGTATGTGTACACTGGTGGTATGTAAAATTTGTGTATGGATTGAAAAAAAATAAAAATTTAGATTTTATTTTAAAGATTTTTTAAAAAAAATTTAATTTTTTTTTAAAAAATAATTTTTTAATTTAACGTTTTGGTAATTAAAATATTTTTATAAGTTTAAAATTAAGTGATATAGTGTTTTTTAATAATAAAGCAATTTTTATTATTAAAAAAAAGATAGATATGATTAACTATATTGAATATGGATACAGATAAATAATGAATGTGAATATTGAAAAATAAAATACTGAAAATTTAAGAAAAAGTGATGGATGAGTGTTTTAAATGATGGATTGAAGAAGATTGAGGTGGATTAATGATGTTTTTGATTGATTAATGAAGGATTAAAAGTTTTAAAAAATCAAAGAAAATTTTGGATTTATTTAAAACAGTTAATGAAAGTGTATGTGGTGATATATGTAAATTATATAAAAATAAACAAAAGTGTGTAAAAATAAAATGAATTGTATAAAAAGTGGTAAATAAGGTTAAAAAAATGAATGATGTTGTGATTGGTGGTAATAAATTATAGCTAAAGATATGATAATAATGACTATAATAAAAAAGTATGTGTACACTGGTGGTATGTAAAATTTGTGTATGCTTGCTCGATTAGCTCAGTCGGCAGAGCGTGGTGCTAATAACGCCACGGTCGCAGGTTCGATCCCTGCATCGAGCAATTTTTTTATTTTAACAAAAAAGCTGGTTCTTTTCGGAGATCTTGATTTTAAACCCCTTCTAACGGGTTGGGGGAGCAATGATAGCCAAGTGGTCGAACGAATTTCCTACAAGTTACCGCTCCGGGTTCGAAACCTAGTCTCAGCAAGTTTTCCGAATCACACACGAATTGACGTTACCGTGCCCAACTTGTATGCAGTGTGGTAAAACTCATATAAGCATTAAACACATACCAAACACAACAAACTGATGACTTAATATATCATTAAGAATCATCTTCACTTTTAAAAAAAAAAAAAAAAAATAACGGGTTTATAATCTTCGAGATTAATTGTAATGCTACTTTAGTTGTAATGTAGATGGAGCTACTTTAGTTATAGATAAATAATAAATATAAATAATTCTAATAATCAAATAAATATACAATTCTTTGTTTGTGAAAACTAAAACCGAAAACTGAAAACTAAAAACACTGTCGCTTACACTAATAATATTCATTATATTATTAAGTAAGCTTTTTTAAAAAAAAAAAAAAAAAAAAAAACTAAAAAATAAAATTTTATTTTTTAAATTTTTCAATTTTTTTATTTTTATTTTATTTTTAATTTTTAATTTTAAATAATAAATTATTTAAAATAAAGGAAAATATAAATATATTATTTAGTTGAGATATAATTATAACTGTAATATTCATTTAATTCTAAAATGCATATGAATACATTACATAATGTTGTTGTTGATGAGTTCTTCAAAACTGTTATTTTTTATTGAAGATGCATAATCGTTGATGAATTTGGTGGTATCATCGTTTAGGTGTGGAGGGGTTCCAGGGTTTTGATTTATTGGATGCAACTATTCGAAGTATAGCATTTTTCAGTGGATCGTTATGTTTTCTGATTGAATTGGGGGTAAATCCAGTTGTTTGTATAGGATTGATAATGGATTGAATCGGGTTTTTGATTTTGAGATATGGAATTGTGTCGATTAAAAATGTATGTTACATTATATTATTGTATTTGAAGCTTCCCCACTCAAAAACATTTTTTCGCTATTAACCATTTTATAGCTTCCAATAAAATTTGGGAATTCATCAAAATTGAATAATGAAATATTAATTAATCAATAACTTTATTACCCATCCTCCATCATTTGATTGGTATTGAAGACTTCCACTTTTGTTATATCTAATATTGTTATTTGACATTTTATGTTTAAAATGATTTATTTAATATCAATTAAAATTTTTTTTAAAAAAATAAAAAATAAGAAATTAAAAATTAAAAATTAAAAAAAAATAAAAAAAAAATAATCAATTTATTTTCAAAATTTATTTCAAAAAAAAATATTATAAAAAGAATTTTTCTCTATTTTTATTTAATGGGTTTGATTAATTAAAAAAAGTTTAAATAAAAATAAATAAAGGCAGATATTAAATTAATGAAATCTGGGTGGTCATAGAGAAAACTATCAATTGAAAGCTAAACAACTCTATAAAGGATTTACTAAGATTAGAACTTGTGTCAATTGATAAAGTTTTTTGGGAAGCTGCCGGATAGGAACCATTAAATCCTTTCTTCAATGAACCATTAAATCTTTTCTTTATCTAAAACCATTCGATGATACCATAATAGCTTGGCCAGAACAATGTCTGATATTCATCAAATAGTTGATTAGAATGAAAAAATTCATTGGTGTTGATTTAATTGAAGGCCTTTTACTTTGATTGGATCTTTACCTCTATGGATTTTGTTATTAATTGAAAATTCTCTATTTGGTAATTTTCATGATAAATATTTGTATCTTTTGGGGTCGTTAAGTAAATGCTGATCTCTATTTTAGTGTCTTGGGTGATAAACTACCTGTATTGGTGTTTGATTAGCAATATTTAATCTGCTGGTATTTTTTTGGGATAACTCTATTCCAGATACCGATTTTAATTCAAATCGTTTTGAAACATATAATATTATCTTCATGGGTGGAACAAATACAAACAAAGCAGTGCATGGTAGTTGATTTAAGTTTTATTTCAGTTGATTTACCATAGTTTGAAAGAAGATAGGTAACAAGTACAGGTAACATATGCTGGTAATATGTAACAGCATATACTGGTAACAACATATACAGGTACATGTAGCAGCTAACAGCTAACAGGTAACAGGTAACAGGTAATATGTAATATGTAACAGTTAACTGCAATAGGTAACATGTACGGGTACAGGTACAGGTAGCAGGTAATATGTAACAGGTACCCGACTCTTTTATTGTCTACTTGTACATAAAAACGATAGTCTAATGTCAAGAAACCTCCTATTCATAGCTCTTTGATTACCTTGGTTTGGTTGTTAGAATCTGTTAAAAAAATCTTAATCCATATTTAAATACTATACTTTTAATTTATTATTTTGTTTTTATGTTTATTATTTTTTTTTTTGACTCTTACAATTTGCAACTAAAAAAAATAAAATTTTTTTTTATTTATATTGAACTGATAGCATTAAAAAAATTTATTATTTAAAATTTATTTTTGAATATTATATAAAAATAATATAATTGGATAATTCAGATAAAAATGATATGAAATAGGATATGTTATTTATTTATTGTAAAAATAAAAAAATTTAATTTTTTATTTTTTTTTAATTTTTTTTATTAAGCAGCGTGGGTTAAATTTTGTCTTGAAAAATTGTTTGATGGAAGGAAACTCGAAATAGACTTTGAAAAGATCAATAAACTTTTGGAGGAATATGAGGTTTTTAAAAAAAGTAGGTATTAGATAGTATTCATTTAAATTTTATATCTGTAGTGTCTAACTATTTTTTTAGATTTCAATAACAGATACCAACCAGAGTGTCAACATCAACCTCCATAACAACCACCAAAACCCCAACTTCAATATATCTAGTAGATATAATTTAGAATTAAAATTGAATGATTTAGAATCAAAAAAAAAAAGACTTGAACATATTCGATAAATTCTTCTAAGTCAACATCTACAAAGTTTAATCACCAAAAGTATTTGGATCATAATCTCTACCAATTTTCTCTAGCCAAGTAAATTAGGTAGAACATCAAATAGTAATAGGTGAAAAAATATTTAGTAGACCTTATCTAGCAAAAAGTTTGGTCTGGAAAACGAAATCTAGGAATTTAAATTTTCTCAGTCATGATTAAATTAAAAAAATTATTTTAAACTTCTCGAAATATTTTCAGTGATAGTATACTGAAACATCAGGTTAACGTCATAAAATTTTTAATTAAATAAAATCTAATTCTTAAAACAAAATAAATTTAAAATAAATTTTTAAGTTAATAATAACTGTTGATTATATTTTTTTTTTATAAATGAATATATTTAAAGAAAGTATTCTAAATTTTTGATGTTTGGTATTAATTAGGTTTGATGAAGAACATGTATGCTCTTGCTATTCATTTTATTTATAAAAAAATAGAAATATATTTTTTGCAAAATAGATAAAATAATGTGGTCAAAAAAATTCAAATTTAAAAAGCTCCATTAACTCAGTCGGTAGAGTGAAGTACTTATAGTATAGTGCGGTATGCTTTGGTCCCGAGTTCAATCCTCGGATGGTGCAATTTTTTTTTACTTTTTTCTTTATTTTTGTTTTTTTTTTTTTGCTTTTTTTTTTTACTAAAAGAGTTCATTTTTTGTGAATTGTGATCATCCCTCCCAAATAAAATAAAATTAAATTTTGATTTTTTAATAGATTCAATTTCAAGAAAATTGGATAATATTAAGATTAAATTATATATTTCAAAATTGATTAAATTTAATTATATCTTGTTTTTTTTTTTTTTTTTTAAAATATTTTTAGTGTTTGAACAGAATTCATAAAAAAAAGCATTGGAAATATTTAAACTATTATAGCAACATTGAAATAATTCAACATATTATATAAAAAAAATATTTTTATATCTGAAAAAAAATAAAAATGATGATCATCATTTTTTTTCAAAATTTTTATTTTTTTTTTTTTTTTTTTTTTTAAAAATATTTTTTGAAAATTGATTATTATAAAATTATAATAAAATATCTTTTATTTTTTTTTTTAATTTATTAATATTTTTTATTTATAATTTTTAAATTTTTCCAATTAATTAAAAACAAAAACCCCACATATTATTTTTTTATTTTTTTTACTTTGTAATTATTTAAAATGAATTATATAAAGAATCATTTAAAGATTTTCAAAACTAATGAGACCAATCAAGAAAATATCAACAATAATAATATAAATAATAATAACGATTCCAGCAATAATAGTAATAATAATAATAATATTAATAATAATCAAATAGTTATCATAAATCAAAATAATATAGATATTATGAACAATAATAAAAATAATTTAGAAAATAATAATAATAATAATAATAATGAAATAGATAATTCAGTAATATTCTTTAAAGTTTGGAAAATATCAACATTAAGAAATATTATATTAAATTTCATAAAGTTATACCATTTAAATGATAACTATAAAGAATTTACAATTAAAACATTAAAAAAATATCCATATAAATTTTATTTATTATCAATTATATTAGTACATAATGAAGAAAATCCAAAAGAAAATGAAGATTCAGATTCAGATTCAGATTCAGAAATCGACAATGATGAAATTGAAAAAATTAAACAAGAGAATAGAAATTTAAAAATCGAACAAATTTTATTAGAATATAAAAAAAGAAAACAGCAAAATAAAAAATCAAATATTAGCAATAATAGTGATGAATATAATACTTATTTATTAAATCAAAAGTTAAAGAAAATAGAACTAAAACAAGAAAAAGAAAAAAAGAATTATAGAAATGCAAATGATATCACACTACATTTACCAAGTAACATAATAAAATTAGAGTTAAAGAATTTTACAAACCAATTTGTATTTATACCAGATCATATCAAAATTTTAAAAATATGCTTATCAGTCAAATTAATACCATATCAGTTTCCAGAAAGTTTAGAAGAGTTAGATTTGGGTGATAGTTACAATTTCACATTGGAGAAATATGATTTACCAAAGAATTTGAAGGTTTTAAGGTTGGGCAAAGATTACAACAAGTCATTCTTAAGCGATAGTTTACCAAGTGGCCTAAAATCATTGTATCTGGGATTCGAATATAATCAAAATATAAGTTTAAATTGCTTACCAAATAGTCTCACCCATTTAGAAACAGGATACAGTTTTAATAAATCAATTAACAATTTACCAAACTCTTTAGAGACATTGGTATTGAAGTGTTATTTTAATCAACCAATTTCAAAGCTACCAACCAACTTAAAGTGTTTGAAATTTGGAGAATCTTTTGATAATAGAATAGGCCCCAATATTTTACCACATGGTTTAACTAGATTAGAATTTGGTAATGAATTCAATACAGAAATACCACCTAAATGTTTACCAATGAATCTAAAATATCTTAAATTTGGAAGGTCATTCAACAAGCAACTCAAAGAACCCTTACCAACAAGTTTAACAGAATTAATATTCGGTTTTAACTACAATCAGCCAATCAATAAAAATGTTTTAAATCATGGGTTAAAAAATTTAGTATTTGATTATTCATTTGATCAGGTCTTGTTGCCTAAAATTTTACCATTGACATTAGAGTTATTAAAGTTTGGAGAACTTTTCAACAGGGATCTTGTAGAGGAAGAAATATTACCCAACAATTTAAAAATACTATTATTTGGTGATAATTTTAATAAAAATATAAATCATTTACCAAAAAGTCTCCAGGTGGTCAAGTTTGGTTACCGTTTTAATAATAACTCAATTGAAAATTTAACATTTGTAGTCGATAGTCAATTAAAAGTTTTGAAATTCGGTAAACAATTTAACCAACTTGTAAACTTGTCAAACTTTCATATACTAGAGAAGCTAAAGTTTTCAAACGATTTCAATAGACAAATACCGCCAGATCATTACCCAGATAATTTAAAGCATTTCTCATGTGACCAATTATTCGATTTAAAAGAAATACCAAAATCAATACACTATTTAAAGTTTGGTAATGGATTCAAAAAACAATTAAAACCGGGTCAATTTGTTAATTTTCCAAATTTAAAATACATTAAATTGGGCGATCACTACAATACAGTCATCGAACCAGGCACCATCCCTGATAATATCATACATTTGAAATTTGGTTCTTTCTATAATAAATCGATTTTGGAGAATAGCTTACCAACCTCATTAACTTGTTTAGATTTAGGTCACGAGTTTTCCCAGACCTTCTATCCTGGTCAATTAGATTCAGCTGTGAATTTATCGATTTTATATTTCTCTACAAAATACTTAAAAGAAATATTACCAAATTCTTTACCAAGCTCAATTCATACAATTCAAGTAAACGGTAATGGATGTCCAATATTCCCAACTGAACAATGCTTACCAAAAAATCTTGTCTCTTTATATATATTTTCAAATAATAATAGATTTTTCATTTTGAATAATAATATCAATTTAAATCTTATTAAAATTATAAAATATAAAAAAGAGAAAAAAAATTATTTTTTAAATTTAAATAATAGAATAATGTATTAATAAAAATAAAGTTTAGTCATATAATTTTCTTTTTTTTTTTTTATAAATATAAAATCACATTTTGCTTTGTTCTTTAAAAAAATTATTAAAAATAATAATAATAATAAAAAAAAAACCCTATTGGGAAATTATTTTCTTTATGTTTAGCATTCAGTTAAATAAGCTAATACAAATAAAATTAACTATAAAAAAAAAAAAAAAGTTTCAATAGTTTTTTAAAAAAAAATAAATAATATTTAGATTAGATATCTAATTTATAAAATATTTAATAAATGTTCATTTTCCATCTATATCTCTATCTTTTTTACCTATTTTGTCATCATTTTTGTTTTATTTGTAGTATATGACCCCCATAAGGTTTGAACATATAAAGTAGGAGTTCAAATTAATAGTATAAATTAAGAAATTTCCCTTTTGTTATGTAAGTTGGTCACCTCACGCCTTATTTGTGCATAGTGCACTTTATTACATATTTTGGAACTATAAAAAATAATTCTCAATTACTCTTCCCCGTTGGTCTAGTGGTGAGGATTTTCGCCTGTCACGCGAAAGGCCCGGGTTCAATTCCCGGACGGGGAGTTTTTTCTTTTTTTCCTATTTTTTTTGGATCTTCCATGTGATTTATATAAAATTAACTTGGGGAGCACCATAGAGAAAGATTGCTAAATCACACCTCTCCGGAAACTTGAATGATTATACAATGTTACCTTACCCAGCCCGTGGTAAAATCCTACAAGTTGCATAAAATATTCATTCCTAAAACACAATAAATAAATTTTACTGACGATTTAATGTTTCATTGAAAAACACTTTTAAAAAAATAAAAGTATTCATTTTATTAAAATCTTGATTTATAATTATATTATTTATCCAAATTTTATTTATCATAAAAAATTATTATTTTAAAAAATTTAAATAAAATTAATTAAAAAAATCTAATTTTTTTTTTTATTTTTTATTTTTTATTTTATTTTTTTTTAACAAATTATTCAATATGAAAGAAATTAAATCTGTAGGTATTATATCACCAGAATCATCTGCATTATTTATGTATGTAATTCCAAATTATCAAATTAAACATTTTGATATTTATTAATATTTTTATTATTTTAAATAGATGCGATATTCAAAGTAAATTTGAAAATGAAATATATAAATTCAAACATATGGTTTTTGAAAGTAAAATAATGATGAAAGCAGCAAAGGAATTAAATATACCCATTGTAGTGACAGAGCAATATCCAAAAGGGTTAGGTAAAACAATTGAATTAATTTCCGAAGAATTTGAAGAGAATAAAACAAAGCAATTCCAAAAAACCTCATACTCAATGTACACACCAGAAATTAAAAAATATTTAAATGAAAATAAACAAATAAAATCAATAATGATCGCAGGTATAGATGCAAATGTATGTGTTCTTCAAACATGCTTAGATTTAATTGCAAATGGTTACGAAGTGCATATTATAGAGGGTGCAGTTTCGAGTTCAAGTGCCCACGAAAGACTAATGGCCTTAAAGAGATTAAAGCAATCAGGTGCTTTTATTACAACTTTAGAATCTTTATTTTGGCAATTAACAAAAGATTCAAAACACAAAAGTTTTAAATTTGTTCAAAAAGGAATTATAGAGAAAAGAAAAATCATGGCAAAACTATAAAATAAATAAATATTTAAATATAAATAAAAGAAAATAAATTACTATTACTTTATTAAAGTTTATTTAAATTTAAAATATTGTTAATTGGAAGAGATTTACATGCTTTTAAAATTTTTTGCCAATATTCTAAAGATTGCAGCATTATGGATTTACCAACTACGATGAAATGGCTCTTGGCTCTTGTGATGGCTACATTTAATCTTTTTGGATTATCAACGAAATCAGACATTACTTTTGAACTTGTTCTTGTGCAACAAAAAATAATTATATCTTTTTCAGCCCCTTGAAATGCATCGACAGTACTAACTTGTATTAATGGTGAGGTTTTAGAAGCTTTTGATTTTTTAAATTTAATTTTATTACCATATTTATAATCTCCATTGCCATATTCATCGTCATTGTCGCTATCACCTTCGTCATCCTGATTAAAATCCTCTTCCTCTTGCTCCTCTTCATCTTCTTCGTTGGTGTCATCATTGCAGTCCATTTTACTAGAATCTTTATTTTTTGTATTATATTTCCTAAATAAAATTTGATTAATTTTGATAGATTGTGATTTATATAAACAAATGATACCAATTTTATCTGGATTGATATTATGAGTCGAAATTAAAATATCAATCATTGAAACTACTAGATCTGCTTCCTTTTGGTTTGAATAGGATCCTAAATCATATTTTTCTACACTATAGCTACCTGTATCATAAAAAACCAATGGTGGTAATTGACTGATTAGAGGTGGTCTTTCCATTTCAGTGATACCATCGTTAAGTGCACTTTCATAGAATAATTGATTTGAAAGAGAACTAATGGAGGGATGGCAACGATATTGGGTACGAAGGATATCTGGTTCTATTGAGTTGTTTGAGAGTCTAACGAATATAGTTTTTTCATAACCACCATAATCAGATTCTTGTAATTCTTTTGATGCTCTACTCTTGATATTTGGTTCTAGCTGTAATGGATCACCAACAATTAACATTTTATGACATTTACTCTTTACAATTGGTAGCATTGAGAGTGGCTCGGGAATTTGGGAACATTCATCTAAAAATACAATTGGAAATTCGATTTTATCAAGTACTGAAAATTGTGACGATAAACATGTTGCACCTACGACCCTACAGTTATTAATATTCTTTCTTGCATTGCTTGCTGTGCCATATTTTAGTGATTCTATAGCTTTTTGAACTATTCTTTTATCAGATTCTGATGACTCCTCATCAAGTAACATTTGATTTAGTTGCTTAAATTGATCTTCTTCATCCGATGATATGCTATTATTGATACCACTGCTACTATGAACTGTATAGAGCAAAATTGGTTTTGCAATTTTTTTAACACTACCAACACGATTAAATTCAGTGAAACCCTGTTCCAATAGTGCCAAAAGAATTCTATCGACCGCAATATTTGTTAGTGATGATATTAAAATTTTAATATGATCATTCTGACCTTTTTCACAAAGATTTAATATAAATAAAATTATAACGACTAATAAAGTTGATTTTCCACTGCCAAATACACCATGAACTAATATACACGAGCTTTTCTTTTGTTTTTCAATATCTATTGGTACACTTTCTTTAAAATTAAACCAAGTTAAACATTTTAATAAAACTCTAAATTATTTTTAAATTTAAAAAAAAAATTAATAAAACTAAATAAATATTAGTATTGCAAATATTTAGAATAAACTACTTACAATTTTTGATCTAAATTTAAATGATATGTATTAATAAAATCGTTTGCAATATTAAGACCATCTTGATATTTTAAATTTAAAGAAAATAAATCAATAGTTTCATTTGAGATTTTATATTTAAGAGGATTTAAAATTAATGGCATAACTGGTAAAGACTCCAAGTTGTCAGTGTTTTTTAAATTTTCGATAACACTTAGTTCATTTCCAAACTCTGTTAAATGAATTGCATAAACTTGATTTACTTTTTGAAGTGATTTAGGGAATGTCGATCCATCCAGAGCCTCTACTTTAATTACACCAGATTTAGCTTGACCATAGTATAAACTTTTAACTAGAAAACAATTGCTACGCGAGAAATCTGTGCTTGTTGAAATTATCCATATATCATCCTTTTCGTATGTTGCATTCTTTCTTTTGTTAAAATTTAAGAAATAATGAGTTTCAGTTTTATGTTGGGATGTAGATGGAGGATTGCCACTAGTACTATTGCTATTTCCTGTAACCATATCGATTATTTTTAAGTTACATTCGACTAAATAAATTTCAACGCCATTCTTTTGGAAATAAAATTCGGTTTCTCTTGACAACAAGTCTTTCTTTAAAATTAAGTCACGATTATCAGATACTATTGGCAATGCTTCATTATTACTATTGTTTGAACCATTTGGATCGCTACCACCATTTTGTTTATAATATTGCTCGACTGAATAAAACTCTTCACAACCATCTTTATTGCATTTGAAAAATTCTTTACCATAACTGTTACTATTTTGGTTCTTTGAAACGAATCTTGAAAAATTGTGACCTTTTTTGCATTTTGGATTATTTTTATCATTGCTCCTTAGACCACCATTAATTAATTTTATGCATGCTGTAAAATAACTTTTTGCTACTCTTCTAATTTCGATATTAATATCTTCGTGAATTGATTCTATAAATGATTTTTGATAATGCTCAACACTGTTGAATGAATCCTTTATTTCGCAATTTCTATAAAATAAATCACTGCCCTCTTTAGTCAATGTTGCCAATGTTCTATTATCTATAAATTTTATAAAATCATTCTTTAATTCAATATTTGATTTGGTTTTATTTTTATTATTATTATTATTATTATTAGAATTTCTATTTAATTTATTGTTGGTTGTTTTAAAAGTGGAGTAGGGTATATCTGGAATTATTGGTGCTGGGATTGATGATAAATGTGCTAAAATTCCTATGTTCATTTTTTTATTAATTTCTTTTGATGGTTGTTCATTCTTTCTCTTTTCTGGTAATATATTTTCAATTTTTTTTGGTTGTAAGTGTAATGATGGTTGCGGTGGGATCTTTTTTACTGGTGGGGATGGGGATTTTAGTGTTAAAATTGGTTTTGGAATATTAGTTTGTTGAGGTTGGTTAAGGGTTATTGGTTTACATTCTTGAATACTGGGTGAAATTATTTTCGAAACTTGCTGTATTTGCTTTTGTTGTTGTTGTTGCTGTAGTTCTGGCTGTGGCTGTGGTGGTTTTTGTTGTAATGGTTGATTATTAGTTGTTTGTTTAAATTCTTGTGTATTGCAAGGTTGTTTTTTTTGTAATAATGGCGATATTGGTTTTCTATTTATTATTTCATCTTGTGAAGAGTCTGAATCATCTAAACCAAAATCTTCTAAGTTGAACTCTCTCTTTTTATTATTCTTTATACTTTCATTATTTTTTATAATATTATCTTTACTATCTATATTATCTATACTATCTATATTATTATTAATATTATCATTATTATTATCATTATTATTATCATTATTATATATATTATTATTATTATTATTATTATTATTATTATTATTATTATTATTATTATCACCATTATCATTATCATTATCATTATCATTATTATCATTATTATCATTATTATCATTATTATCATTATCATCATTATTATCATTATCATAACTATCATTATTATTATTATTATTGTAAATATTTTTTTTAATACCATTTTTTATATTATTGTTGTAAATATCACTATCACTTTTTTCAAAATCATTGTTTTTATTATTACTATTTCTATTATTTTGTGAATATTCATAAATATCTATATTTTTATAACTACTATTATCTATGTAACTATTGTTACTTGAATATTTTATTTCTTGATATACAGCTTTGGTTTGTTTATTTTGTTTACTATAGCTTTCATTTGTATTATCTTCTATATCGTACATATCTAATAAACTACTTATATCCTCACCTTGGTCAATTGATTGTACTTGATTATTCATAGGTTTGTAATAAAGATCATCATTATCTTCGATATCGTCCTCATCATCATCCTCTTCTTTGATTACTTCGTAACTTGAAGACATTAAATTGAATTGTTGTGGTTCGGGCTGGTTTTTAAAACTATATTGCTGAGGTGGCGAAGGTGGTTGAGAATCCTTTTTTTGTTCTTCATATTGTTGAGGTGGTTGCTGAATCTTTTTTGAAAAAAATGTTTTTTTACTTGAAATAGTAGGCTGAACATAGTCATCATTATCACTATTACTTGTATTATTACTTGTATTATCATTATTATTAATATTTTTAAAGCCATCTATATTTTCATTGCTATTTTTTATTGCGCTATTACCATAAAAATTATTTTTTACTTTTTTATTTAATTCTTCACTATTATTAGTACTGGTGTTATTGTTATTGTTATTGTTATTGTTATTGTTATTGTTATTGTTATTGTTATTGTTATTGTTATTGTTATTGTTATTGTTATTGTTATTGTTATTGTTATTGTTATTGTTATTGTTATTGTTATTGTTATTGTTACTAGATGTTTTGGTAGTGGTTAAATTTGTTTTTGAGGGCACAGAAAATGCTTTTTTCTTTGTTTTTTTAATAGTTGGCTCATTTACTGGTGCTGATGATAACGGTTTATCAATAGTATTGTTTGATGTATTTTTATTAATAGCTACATTATTATTATTATTATTATTATTATTATTGTTACTATTGGTTTTTAAAGATTCTAGTGATATTAAATAAGTGTCAGTTTCTATATCAAAACCTTCACATAGTACTGTATTACTAGCTATAAAATTTGAATCTAAAAATTGTTTACTTGTTGTATATAGTGATACTTTTCCATTTGAAAAATTTATATATCCCTCTTTATATTTTTTAACTTTTTGTGATTTAAGAGCATATTGGCAATTCCATGACATAACGCTCATTATTATGTATTATTGAAAATTAAATTATTATTTATATCTCTTTTTTTATTTGTTAACAATAAATAAAAGCTACATGAATTGTTAAAAAAAAATTAAAGAACAATATTAGATATTTCCCCCCCCTTCGTGGAAAATATCCAATTTAATTAAAAAAAAATAAAAAAAAATATAAAAATTTATTTTTTTTTTTTTTTAAATCTTTTTTTTTTATTTTTTTAATTATATTCCATATTTTCATTTAATTATTAATAATTTTTATAGATTTATATAAATAATTAAATATTTATATATGTTTATATTTGTTACATTATTTAATTATTTTTATTAAATAAAAAATAAAACTCTGTCATTAAAAAAATAATAAATAATTTATTTAAATAATAAATACAAGTATATATTTATTTTGGGAAAAAAAAAAATATAGATATATAAATTTTTAATTCCTTTTCATTCTCTAAAATCCTCACCACATTTATTTTTTCCCCCTATTAAAAA